TTATTATTTTATTAAAAATATTGCAATAAACCTGCAACAATGGATAAAAATATTTCTCTCATTATTATAAATGTGCCAGTAATTTGTTTGTCACATCTAAATCATTGTGTCAATAATTCATTATAAAGCTCCAATACTTGTGTAGTAATTTATTCTGCACCCACGTTACTGAGTCAGTAAATTATCATTGAGTTTAAGTAATGGATCACAGTTCCATCACTCAGCAACCTAGATAACCAAGACTGAGTGATCATATTTTGCAAAGTCTGCAATAACACATTATGCCAGTACAATGTAGCCAGCATTCAAACGTAATCTGTTATTTCAATTAGTGTCGACAGAAAAAAAAAGAATATAAATATGTTATGCCGTGATACAAATATTATTGCATCAATCAAGCAGAACTTGCTCAAAAAATGTAGCAAATTTGAAGCATAACGTGCTATTGTCATTTCATTCTTTATTTATTTCTATATTTTTGCTGTGTTGTTTTCTTACGTATCGTGTCTAATAACATAATTTACTTACTATAATGACACAGCTGAGTGGAATCTGCTGCAAAGTGCTGATTAAATCTGCGTGCATACTGCTGGCATACTGCTATCATTTGGCTATCGGGGTAATATAGGTAATAGACAAAGTAGATATCTTTTAGACATTTAGTTGTTATCCAGCGGACATTTATATTTTTTATACTACATAAAAATTCTAAATTACATTAAATTTTTTATATAATTAAAAGTAATCATGTATGCATAGTAAGTTTTCATAAAATACATGTATACTGATATCTTAAAATGTCCTGTAAATGTCCTGAGCCGTCTTGGGTATTGTCAGGATAGATCTAAGGACGTCTTGTGCTATATGGGTATACATCACATGACGATACGACGTATATATATCCGAGAAATATAATAATGACATAACACAAAGTGTAAATGTCACGGTTTGACGTGTACATATCCGAGAAAACAAATAATTACATAACACAAATTGTGCGGTTTGTGTCGTCATAAAAAAATATCTAGTTTTAATAGACTTAACTATTTGCATACTCCGATGATTTAAAACACATTAAGATAATCGGCTTCTCTGCATATAAAGAATTCGTTATAGTCTTCTTTATATCGAGCTAGTGTTCACATCAAGTGGAATCAGTTTCTTCATACAAGGTAATGTGTCACTTTTATAGAAGTTTATTAATTATAATTTTACTAAACCAAATTGAGTAATGAATTACTAGCCTATCATCCAGTGATATTTTGGCAAATTACTTAGAATTATTGGATAATTACTGAGGACTTATTACTGATGGTGAATTATTGAACACATTAGTGTTAGTGCTTGCATAGAAATTTGTTTGGGATTTATTCGGAAATCAGTTAGACTTTTTCAAAATATATTGGATTCGTAAAAATTTTATATCAATTCCAATTGGAAGTGTAACGCATTGCAATTTAAAATTTAAAAAAAATTTTATCTAGAATCCAAGTGAAATTTCTTACTAAAAGAAAACAAATGGCACATCGTTTTTTGGAAGGGAAATTACTTCGAGATTTCATTCAAATTAATCTTTGGAGGTCCGATTTATTTCGCCAATTGACCGAGAAACTCTGTTGAAAAGGACCAAATCTGAAAAATCTTAAAAATGATAGTGGGATTTGAACTTGAGACTTCCATATTCACAGCCGCCTCACTCAATGTCAGTCCGCGAGATCACTTGTTTCTTAATAAATCGTAATTATTTTTATCTACTTATTCTCAAGCTATCTTACACATTTTATTTTATTTATTTAAATTATTATTTTATTAAAAATATTGCAATAAACCTGCAACAATGGATAAAAATATTTCTCTCATTATTATAAATGTGCCAGTAATTTGTTTGTCACAGCTAAATCATTGAGTCAATAATTCATTATAAAGCTCCGGTACTTGTGTAGTAATTTATTCTGCAGCCACGTTACTGAGTCAGTAAATTATCATTGAGTTTAAGTAATGGATCAAATAGTTCCATCACTCAGCAAATAATTCATTACAAAGTCTCTCAGTGATTCTCTAGTAACTCAGCAAGTAATTCATTACACGGCTAAATTATTGGACCACTAATTAAGCACACATACTACAATTACTAACTACTAAAAATTATTGACACAGTAGTAATTAAATTACTAAAAAGTACTGCGATTTAATAAGTACATTACTAAGCGACAATAATTAATCAAATGATGATGAGTGTAGTTAGCTTCAGATTTTTGTAAAAATAAATAAACTTAAGGCATTGATAATGGTTGTTTGAAGCAAAACACTGATGATGATGTGTATGAAATAGTGTGTTACTGTATGTAAGCAAGCTAATATAAAACGTTTTCGACCTTTGAATTAGGCCTTTTTCAATATAGGTATACAAAATAATAATTTAATGTTAAATTTCGCAAGAATAATACAATAATATAAATAAATAACTTACAAACAAAGTAGTGGTGTTTACCACATGAGTGTGGACATTAATATAAAGTTCTTGAAATGAGGGTTTCTCAATTTATTCAATCCAATCATGACAATGAAAAATATAATGCCCTCAAAATCACTCAGCAGTTTTTTAAAAGTCATCCTACTATCGCTTTTACTAGAGCTGACAAGGGAAATTCTGTAGTTGCTTTAGATAGAGACATTTATACTCGACAAATTGAAGATATGCTTTCTGATATCAACACATACGCTTCTGTTAAAAAGAATTTTGTGAATTTTATTATAACGTCTCTTAAAGACTTGTTAAAAAGATGGAAAACTCGCGAATACAAATCACTGAACTCACTTACAAATACTTAAACATTTCACACACGATACTTCCTAGATCCTACGGTGTTCCAAAGATCCACAAACCTGGCAATCTTTTCAGGATCATTATTTTTACAATTAACAGTCCGCTACACAATCTTGCAATTTTCTTACATAAAATAATTTCAAAAAATCTCGAATCTATTCCAAGCTTGGTTTATAAGAGCTTTCACCTTGCGAGTCGGATCTCCGAAGTAACATTTGATGAATCATTTGAGTTAATCTCTTACGATGTCACGTCATTATTTACTAACATTCCAATTGATCTCGCAATCAAAGGACTAGAAAAAAATGGCATTTGATTAAGCTTAGCACTACTCTACCTAAAGAAAAATTCTTTTCAGCTCTCAATCTTGTTTTTAACTCTACATTTTTCCTTTTTAATGACAAACATTATAAACAGACCTTTGGCGCACCTATGGGCTCTCCTCTCTCTCCGATTCTAGCAGACATAGTCATGCAGGATCTGGAATCATCTACCATTAGTTCTCTATCTTTTATCCCATCTTTACATGTCAAATATGTAGATGACGTAGCTCTTATGGTTCCCCGAGATCAGTTTGATGTCGTTCTAAAACATTATAATTCATATCATTCTCGACTTCAGTTTACTATGGAGGTTGGTTTTGATAGATTCAACTTTCTGGACATTACAATTATAAAGAGCAATAATAGATTAATACATGACTGGTACCATAAGCCAACGTTCTCAGGCAAATATCTTAATTCTTTTTCTAACCATCTTATCTGCCAAAAAAAGAGACACGGTCATGAGTCTCGTCGACAGAGCCTTCTTTTTATCACATCCTCAATTTCATTCTAAGAACTTTGACTTGATTTTTAATATTTTAATTGACAACAATTATCCATGTGACTTCATTTTTGACATTTTTAAACAGAGACTGAAACATAATTTTTTCAAAAATAATGACTTAAGAAGGTTTTTGTTGAATCATGCTCTAAACGAAGTGCCGATTCGTTAGTTTGTGATGCCTTATATAAATAATTTTTCAGAAAAATTTGTAAATATTTTTCCAAAAGAGACTAATACTCGCTTTGCTTTTAACGGTATAGACAAATTGTCTAGATTTATCAATGTTCTAAAGGATTCTCTTCCATTATCTAAACGTCCTTCTGTAGTATATAAAATAAATTGTCGGGATTGTGATGCATCATATGTCGGACAGACCCGCAGAATGATACATTTGAGAATCACTGAACATAAGAACCATATTAAGAGAAATTCCTCCCAAAGATCGGTGATTACTGATCACAGGATTCAATACTCTCATGAATTTGATTGGGATAACGTAAAATTATTAGACAATGAGAGATCTTATAATAAACGTTTGATATCAGAAACATTATACATAAGAAGCTAAAGCCGTAGTCTCAATTTACACAGCAACACTGAAAATCTTGACAGATCCTACTCATCATTCGTTGATAATACATATTAATATGGTGACTTGAGAGTTGATAACGGCTTTGAACCGACACACACTGCCTTCGGTTCTTTCAGTTACTTCGTAACTCGTTAAGTGTAAAGTTGTCAAGTTTGTTTTACTTCAAGAACTTTATATTCATGCCCACACACATGTGATAAACACCACTACTTTGTTTGTAAGTTATTCATTTATATTATTGTATTATTCTTGCGAAATTTAACATTAAATTATTATTTTGTAGACCTATATTGAAAAAAATCTAATTCGAAGGTCAAAAACGTTTTATATTAGCTTGCTTAAATAAAGTAACACACTATTTCATACACATCATCATCAGTATTTTGCTTCAAACAGCCATTATCAATGCCTTAAGTTTATTTATTTTTAATAATTAATCACTACTGCATTAGTAATACTTTTTTGTAAGACCACCCGGTAAAACATTTTTGATAAATATAATCATATATACTTATACACAAATTAAAATTCTTATATAAAAATATTATATCTTTATAATTTATATAAAGATCACTTCAAAATTACAATGTGATCGACAGACGGTCATATTGTGATTTTGAAGTGATCTTTGAATAACAAAAAATATAGTAGTTTTATATAATTTTTTGTATCTAACATACTACTAAAGTTATTTTGTAAGTTGATATTTTTAAAGCCATTCTCTTAAACAAAGATATTCTCCGTGTAATTCTACATAAAATTGTATGGACATATTTGAATTGTGTGTGTGTGTGTGGATAAATTTGCATAATTAGATATAATAATTTTAATTTGTGTATAAGTAATATACCCCGACAGTCAAATGATAGCAGTATGCCAGCAGTATGCACGCAAGTTTAATCAGCATTTTGCAGCAGATTCCACTTAGCTGTGTCATTATAGTGAGTGAATTATGTAGGGTAATTATATATATAATTATATTGTTGCGCTCACGGCAGCGTTTAATCGCGTAACCGCCGAGTTACTGCGCTCCGCGGAAAGAAAAGATAACACCGCGTATAACACATTTAAGTTTTATTAGAGAACGCGTTACAAAAAACCACGGAAAACGTAAAAGAAATCTCGAGAGCCGATGATGGCGGCTCACTCTTCTTTGAACTTCGCCGTCAACAACCCGTTGCTACCCGAACAAAAGCCTCTATATCGATTGATCGTTCGACGAACATCTTATACCGCGTGGACGACACGCGCCGCATCTCGCAACAATATATATCACAACTTCAACGTAATAAATCACTATGATGACACAGCTAAGTGGAATCTGCTGCAAAGTACTGATTACATTTGCGTGCATACTGCTGGCATACTGCTATCATTTGGCTATCGGAATATATATATATATATATATATATATATATATAAATTTTTTACCGGGCATTGAATTAAAAAGCAACTAATAACTAAATAGAGTTATAGTAAGAGTTTAAAATTTGATGACTGTACAACACTTAATACACTACTGCGTTTATTGAAACAAAAACCAAAACTTAAAAAACATCATTATAGTCACATGTTTTATCTTAGATCTTGTCGATAGTGTGTAAGAGATCAAAATAGAATTTCTATGATGAGAGTGATTTTGCAAGAAAGAAACAAGAATATAATACAAACATAAAGATTATGTACAAAACGATTGAAGCAGTTCCACAATTATTAGACACATTTTGTTTTATCAATGAGCGAGCATGATCTATAGTATACGTAATATGTACTATAGATAAATGTACGCATATGAATGAAATGGAAAGCATTCATTACTTATTTCAACAAGATAAACCACACACGCACAATACTCTCACACGCACATGTATGTTTGCCTAGTGTGCTATATTTTCAACACAATGTTGATACTTTTTACGTTACGTCAACAATTTCAACATTAAATAAATTGCTAAGCAAAAAGCAAGATGAATCTTTGTGTAGAAGACTCGTAACTTTTTTAGATTTATAAAATCCATTTTATTAAAATTTATAGGTCGTCAAGAAAGAATATAAACACTTACACTATTGTAGTTTTTTATATTATCTTTGCATCAAAAAATACAAATTGTAAAAATAATACAAAGAAAGTAAACTTGATATCTTTATTTTGAAAAAAATCAATAACCACAAACCACTTATTTTTAAAACTCCCAGAAATTTTTTACATTACCTAAAGAAGAGTTATTCTCTAAAATAAAGATATAAAAAACTTATTTTTAGGGTTGTGGATTGCAGCTTTCTACTACCTGCAATAGCCGTAATTATTTGGACATCTCTTATGGAAGTACAAAATCATCCTTACACACATATTACAATTAATTAATATTACAGAAGTAACATATATCCAAGTTGCAGCAGTCTTCAATTTAATTGACAATTTACCATCGTAACGAGATGCAATCTGAAATATTAAGTGAAACATGTCAAATAGTAATTCGAAAATTCTTAGGAATTGTTTGTTTTTTATTGCTTGCTCCGTTTCTTATCACCAGTTTGATGTTTTTATATATCTACCGTTGTTGGGTAGAAACTGTGCTAAGAATTCAACTTAAAGATAAATTTGCCGGTCTGTTGGAAGGCTCGGATGCTGTTTGGTGCGTCAAAGATACATCTGTACCCTTGATTACTGCCGTACTAATAGTGAAGAAAACCGCAGGAACTACAAATATGACTTTCTTGAAAGATATGAGAAACTTATTCGATCACGTATTTAAAACTGCCCCCAAAAGTTTCGAAAAACTGTTTTACTATAAATATCAAAAGTTTGGTTATGTTTATTGGGAAAAATCAAAAGAATTTAATCCAGAAACCGCAATTAGATGGTTGGAGTGTGAAATCAGTAATTGCGATGGATCTTGCGAGAATGTTCACAGTACAACCTTTCAAGAAAATCTAAGTTTAATATGCAACAGACCGTTGTATGATGATCACAAACCGATGTGGGAAATGCTCATTGGAAGACGTTGTTCCAAATCTTCATCTTATATGAAAAAAGATCCGAGCTTGTCTTCCGAAGACCGCTTCAATACCGATGTAGACGAAATTCCTGTAGTATTTCGCGCTCATCATTCTCTTGGTGATGGTAAAGCTTTATTCAAGTTGCTTAATGTGATTGTCGACGAGAATATCACAAATGAAGTGTCGACAATATTGGAAGAACCCAAGGACAGCACCTTAACAGCTAAAGAAAACTATTTTAAGGAGAAAGAAACTTTTCTAAAAAAACAATTTATATTAAACTTGAAAGAAGTATATAACACAATTAAAGAAATCATAAGAAATGTAATACTTATATTGTTTTCTCTAGAAATTTTTGTCTCTCAAGTTTTTCGTTGTATGGATGGCAAAAGGTCAGTATTTGAATACGTCTATATTTCAATATCCTACAACACATTTAAATAAAATAATATATTTTTAAATATAGTTATATAAATTTTCAATATGCAAAATATGTAATGTTTAAAATCCAAGTTTTACATCTGTACATACTAACTTCATAATACTGATATTTATCAAATCGTATGTCATAATATTTAGATAAAATATTTTAAGATTTATAACATAATGAGTTAATCTTGTAGCTTTCTTCATGGTCGGCCTTTAACAGGTGAGAAACTGATATATTATCGTTTGGAAAACGATATCGATAAATCGCAGCTTTTAACAAAAATTAAAAAAATAAGACAGTGTACAGGAGCAACAGTTAATGACATAATATTAACAGCTTTTGCTGCTGGGATGATTAAATATTATTTACGCGTAAGTATAATCACAATACTAAGTGTCCAAAATGAAGTCTTTATATGTAAAAAATTTCTTTATATGTACAAGTATGAAACAAAGTGTATATCTTTGTTGCAGATGAAGGAATTAATACCTAACGCAATATCGGTCCTCATACCAAGAAGACTCTCTATGTCTGATGACAACTTAGTATTGACCAATGATGTTTCGTTTAATATAGTTAAAAGTTGTTTTGTCAACGCAGATAGAGAAATTTTAACATTACCTACAAACTTTCGGTTTTTTGAACGTCTTCAGAGAACTACAATAATAAATAACAAAATTAGAAATAATTTAGAAGCATCGTTAAACGTTTTCTTAGTTAAATATTTAAGTAGAATGTTGCCGGTGTCAATTATAAAACTTATTGTTGCAATTCACAATCCCATAATGGCATTTAGCAATATAAAAGGAATACAAAAAAAACTTTCTATTCAGAATCATCCTCTAAGCAACATGACGTTTTGGATACCGAACAAGTATAGTATATCATTATTATCTTTTATCTTAACTTACGTGTAAAAAAAATTAGAAATATTCCAGAGATATTAAAACCATTTTTATATATAATATAAGATATATGTACATGTATATATATTTATTCATATATTACAATTTATATTTTTAGAAATACAACCGGGTTGTCCTTAGGTCTAATTACTTACGAAGGCAAATTAAATCTGTCTCTATTTGTTGATAAAGCAGTAATAAGAGATATGAAATTAATCAAAGAAATAATAGACGAGACTATATGTGAAATAGACTCTGCGTATAATGATCTCGCATAACTTTCGGAATCATCGGATTGTTCAGTGAAAACACTTGTGGAAAAAAATAGGTAAATAAAAATCTCAATTAAGTTTTGATAATATTTTACTTTCCTGTGATGCACAAAACAAGTTTATTGCATGTTGATGCACAACAGTTCTATTTTTATTAGTACATATTTAAGTTTAAGACTAAAAAACACTTTTGTATATTGTAGGAATATTCTAAAAAGTGAAAACAATTTTAGTTGTTGGCATACTCTATATCTTTTATGCACGTAGTGTGTACAAATGTATATTTATATAGCAATATCGTGTTTAATTATTTGTGAAAATAAATTTACTAGTATTAATAGTGATTTTTTGTAATGAAAAACAAAGACCTTTATATATCAACGTCGACTAATCTATCTTATGTAATATTTGTAATGTGATACTCATAAATGTAAATAGAAATAGTAAAATTGTTTCCCACATAGCTACGATGATCATATTTTTTTGAAGAAAATAAAGGATAACTTAGAAGTTGTTTTACAATGAAAAAGAGCAGGTTTATTTGTTAGACTAAAATTAAAAAGCTTTAGAATATGTATTATAAAATATAAGTATATATATGTAATATATAGGATTTTAAACAATATATTATTGAAACAATATATAATACTTAAATAGTATTACTTGAAATAATATTATATTATTATAAAAATATTACTTTTTAAAAAAATGTACTTTTGATATTTTTCACAAAAATTAACTTTTTGTAGTATAATATAATACAAAAATCTCGCTCGTAAAATTAACAATAAATAATAATAATTAGAATAAAGGTCTCTATCGAGCAACAAGTAGATCTCATGATTTTATTAATATAAATTCACATAAAGTAATGTGTAAATGACATATAGTTTAGACGTTTCGGCCCTTACTTGAGCTCTTTTTAGTATGAAAGAATAGAAAACAACGCCATGTCGCAAAGAAGATAACAATATAATGTAAAAAAGTACACAAATCTTACGTACGGCAGTCCATTTTGACTTCAAATCAGAAGTTGAAGATCAAATATATATTTGATCAAATATATATTTAATATTTGATCTTCAACTAAATTATCTTACTAGCAAACAAACTTTCAAGTAAACTTGTAAGTCTTCCGAAAGCTTTGAGCAGCTTAGATTACTAGCAACATTTGATATATATATATATACAGGGTGTCCCAGAATTGGTTTAACATCTCTTGAAGACAAGTAGAAGGAATAAAACTGAGGTGAAAAGTCCTATACCATTTTGCTAGATTTGCAATAGTTACCGAGATTTTAATTAACAAANATCCGCGAATAAGCGTGCATCGGGCTGTCTTACGCGCATAGGACAGCCCGGCGCGCTTCACACAATTACATTTTAATATGTATATGTTATAGTATATGCTGTTATATTAGCTCCTCCCATATGTCGCTATGGGTAACACCGTTAGCGCGCGAAGCGCGGCGGGCAGTCTTACGCGTGTAAGACAGCCCGATGCATGCTTATTCGCAGATCTTTGTTAATTAAAATCTCAGTAACTATTGCGAATCTAGCAAAATGGTATAGGACTTTTCGACTCAGTTTTATTCCTTCTGCCTGCCTACGAGAGATGTTAAACCAATTCTGGGACACCCTGTATATATATAACTTCAAGTTTTCTAAAAAGTAAAAGAATCTTAGTTAATCTAAACAAAACTAAAAGTAAACTTTAAGTTTTTCAAAACTTAAAAGAATCTTAATCTACTTCCAAACAAAACTAAAAGTAAACTTCAAGTTTTCCAAAACTTAGAAGAATCTTAATCTACTTTCAAACAAAACTAGAAGGAATCTTCAAGTATTATAAGCTATTTAGTAAACTTCATTAAAAAATTTTGGCAACTTTAAAGAAACTGTAAAGTTAACTTGATGGAATCGAAGTAAACTTCAGGGAAACTTAAAGTTTTATAAATTACTTAGAAACCTTCCTTAAAAAACTTTGGGAGCATTAAAAAAACTTCAAGTTAACTTAATAGAATCAAAGTAAACTTCAAGTAAACTTAATGAAATCGAAGTAAACTTCAAGTATACTATAAAATTGTAAAGGTACTTTAAAAAATCTTGAAGTAAATTTTCCTAAGGGCCGCGTCGACACGGTTCCCGCCGCTCCGAAATCTACCGATCGCGCGCGTAAGAGTTTCATAATTGCAAACTACCGACCGAATTAAGACAATCTCCAGTGTAAATTAGAAAATCTCTGACCAAATAAATCAATCATACATTTCAGCATTAAAATTGTCTGTCTCTACTGAGTGTCGCAATTTCTCGCCTTCCCCTTCCCCGAACATTGGCACTGACCGAGCGGTCCGGCAGGCGAAAGACCTGGCGAAGCCGATAGAAAATCGTCTCCGTTATACACTAAGCGAACGAACTTATCACATGCAAGGTGATAAGGAGAAACGCGGTTGCCGAGCGCCTGCCGCATTGTTTTTAATCCATGCGTAATATTTGCCGAATATTCGATTATTCACATAACATCGCCGAATATTCGATATTTGGTTAGGTGCCGCCCTTACGAAAAAGAACTACTGGTAGTAATATATTGCGGCAGTGGTACGAAAAAATTACTTGCATTCTGTGTAATTGCCAGTAATATTCTTAGTAATTTCTGTAATACCTAATAATATTCTTATGTCATTGTCAGTAATATTTATATTACTGACTTTATTTATATGTAATCGGCAGTAGTTCTTTTTCGTAAGGGCGAATACATTATTTGTTGCATCTCTAGAAAAAATAAGTTTCTTTCAACGTAAGATATACAAACAAAATAAGTAATTACTTCGCGATTGCTTAACACATAATACGTCAGAAGTCACTTTATGTAAATTTCATGCAAATCACTGTTACATAATTATTGAGTTTTTATTACTCGGAAAAAAACCTTTATTACATGTATCAAAGGTCAAATTACGTAAATTTCATACACTTTGCTTTGTATCAAATTGCTCTTCAAACTCTGATAAAGTGAACTGAAATGTTTACAAAACGTTGATATAAAAATGACAATAAAGCGGTTCAAATCCATCTATAAATACGTAGGTCGTCTGAAAAGTTTTGAGCTTAACATAAAACCAAGTATTTTTTTGTCAAATTCAGTTTTATTTTTCACCATAGTCTCCTTCTAAGTCAATACACTTTTTTCAGCAATGCTCCCATCTCTTTAACTCATTCAAATAGTATCAGTGGTGGTCGCAGTTGTTTTGGGCCGTCCCGAACACTCATCATCAACCTAGCTGATACGACCATGTTTAAATTCAGCTGCCCATCTTTTCACGGTAACAAATGATGGAGCAAAATCACCGTAAACAGCGTTTAACTCGCCTTTAATTTGCGCAAACAGAAATTCAATCACGGCACGATATTCAATTTTTTCCATTTTTACAAAATCTGATATCGACTGACACAAATGACTGTCAAACAACTGAGCGTCCAAAATGGCTATAATTTTCACAGACATAGACATATAAAGTATAGACTGGAAATTGCGAGGTATTCACTTCGCGACGCGTCGTAGACTACTTCGTGTGAATTCGTGATTGGCGGAAATATCCGAACGCTTCTCTCTGAAGTTTTACGGAATTCAACGAATTGCGAACTCACACACGGTGGGAAAAAAATTAGGTAAAATCGTACGTATAGATGTGCGTTGAGTCAGCGTAACTTAATAAAATCGTTTATTTACATTCGTTTTATTCGTGTGTAAACTAAAAAACAACACTTGGCAAATGATTTGTCTNCTATTCATATATTTTTTCGTGTTATAATACAAAATCGTAATATTAAGCGCAACTTTTTATAAAAAAGAAAAAAGAAATTTTTTTGACTTAAGAAATAATTCTAACGCAATAAATCATAATAGTAAAAACGCAACTTTTTATATGACATATATCTTTTCGACTTCCTATCCTTCGTAACTTTACTGTCCTCGAAACAGTGTTACCTTGTTTAATCGTTGCCGATTACTGAGCAAACATTGGCTGCGTTCAGCAGAACTCAGCGCTTGGCAAGCGCTTTGCGCTTATTGTCTGTGATTGGCCTTTTCTTGTAAATCTAACAAAACTATGAGAGTACAAGCCAATGGCAAGTAATAATAGCAAAGCGCTTGCTAAGCGTTAAGTTCTGCTGAACGCAACCATTTGCTTCGTACGCGATCGGTAAGACGTATTTTCGCATTCAAACATATGAAACGCGTGAGTAACAGTCGTCCGTGCGTCGCGTCGTCACGATGCGTCGCGATCAAAATTCGAAGCGTCGCGGCGAAACGTGAACGCAACAATCGGAAACTCAGTTTCATCGCGTCGAAACGATCTAATGTACGACGTCGACGTAATTCCGCATCGAGCGCTTGGTCGCAGAAATTATGGCAAAAACGAAAATAACCACTCAATGACCACGAAGCAAAACTCGCATACGTCGCACATTCAGCGCGCACGTTTGTTTGTTCGCGGCGCGAAGCTTACTTCATACTTGTCGTCGCAGACTACTGACGCCGAAACGATTTTTTCTAGCGATGTCATTGTTGACGGTCGTAATTTCCAGTCTATACTTTATATGTCTATGTTCACAGGTATTTCTTAAAGCATGAAAGTGGTGTTGCATCAGCCATACCGGTTAGATGTGCGTAGTTACGCTTAGATATTTTTGGACAATTCTCGGTGTTTTTACACCGACTTTTTCAGTTTATCAGTAATTTTAACGAACATACAACTCCGTGGCTTGTACCCACGGAGTACAAACCACGGTTTAGGACCTGTGTCACGATTCCTAAAGACTTAGAATGGCGTATGGACTAGCTTGAAACGTCCTTTGAGCCATATATGCACCAAACCAAACCTTCTTAAAGCATGTATGATTGTGTGTAGTACCAGAATGGTTTTGACGAGTAATACCATCTTTATGTTCAGACTCAAAACTTTTTAGACACTCTTCGTATTAATATAAAACACCATCAAATATTTCGTAACATTATCTCTGTTGACATTATACTGTACGCGTTATCTCGAACGTTAAAATTGTAAGCGTCAATATTTCAATACTATATATACATGTTATTAAAATGGTTCGCTTAGTGTTTATAAACTTGTGAATGGTTATATTTCGCAAAGCTCTATGTTTGTAAATTAAAAACAATCACGCACTGACGTTTTTTCCAATACGTGTTACAGTGAATAGTTGACAATTGTTCTTAGTTATTACATTAATTTTGATTCGATTTAATAACTTTATACAAGGATTTATAATATATGTACACGCACGCATTATAAAGTTACAAAGTTACAATTGCTGAATATGACCAGCTAAACCTTTAAGAAAATTTACTTCAATTTCTTATAGTAATTTTAAAATCCTATAGTATACTTGAAGTTTACTTTGATTTCATTAAGTTTACTTGAAGTTTACTTTAATTCTATTAAATTA